GTTTGCCCCAGCTACTTCAGCAACTGCTTGCCAGTTCGGGCCTTGGCCAGCACACTTAATGGCCCCTTTGGTGACTACAGGATGTCCCCTGCATGGCCTCCGTGTCCTTCCTGTCCCTGCCTGCCCTGGCACCCATTGCTGCCTCCACCCCGGCCCTCCACCGCCATCCCGGGTCTGCTAACGGCAGGTCTATTTCTCTCCTTATCAGTGATTTCCATGGAAGGTTCCCTGGGTACCTCCCAGGCTGCACTCAGGGGCCCTGGGCTGCCAGGGCCAAGCTGCCCTGCTGGGAGGCATCCAGCTTGGGTGGGCTGGGCAGGGGCTGCGGCTGCAGTGTTAAGCTGGCACTCCTGATGGCACATGTGGATCCGGTGTTGCCTCCTGCTCCCTGCATGGCCGACCGGCTTTGTTGTTGTATTCTATTGGGTCAGTAGATGCCCCCTGCCAGCATCACCAGCATCAACATGAGCGCCCGCTCTCCTGCAGAATGCAGGAGACCCTCTCGTCTCCTGGCACAAACTCACAAGTCACCATTTGCAACAGATTCTTTGTTGTTGTTGCATTTATTTTTATTGGAAAGGCAGATTTACAGAGACAAAGAGAGACAGATCTTCCACCTGCTGCTTTCCTCCCTAAATGGCCGCAATGGCTGGAGCTGAGCCAATCCAAAGCCAGGAGCTTTTTCCAGGTCTCCCACACGGGTGCAGGGTCCCAGGCTTTGGGCTGTCTTTGACTGCTTTCCCAGGCCACAGGCAGGGAGCTGGAAGGGACGTGGAGTAGCCGGGACACAAACTGGCGCCCGTATGGGATCCGGCACTTGAAGGGGGAGTGTTAGTCTATAGAGCCATTGTGCAGGCCCATTGTAACAGATTCTACAGCCTGGTCTCTCACTGCCAACTACCAACATGACTTTGGGCAATCACCTATTGTTTCTGGGCTCCAGGCCCCTGTGTGGCAAGCGAAAGCCAGGCATAGATGGGCTTCCTGGAACTGGGAGTGCCCCCAGGGGCATGGAGCCTAGGATCTTGCAGAAAGCTGAGGATGGTGTATGGACGGGCAGCAGGAGGGCAATGCCCCCACTGCACCTAGAGTCACCTGCCCAATTCCAGGATGGCGGCTGGGACCCCACCGCAAACTCTGACTGGTGTCAGGAGGGCCCCTGGCTTGTGGCTGCTGTCGCCCCCAGGCACTGCAGGTTGTGCCTGGGAAGCCACACGAGGGGTGGTAAGTGGCCACAGCTGCTCCTGCAGTGCAGGCAAGCTGCTTCCGGACTGTCCCAGCGGGGCTGTCCTGGCTTGGGGAACAGGTTCATTGGCATCCTGGGAGCTGGCCACTTCCACGGCAGCATGCCTGGGGTGGCAGCTCTGTGGCTGTGCTGCAGTAGCGCCTGGCGCCCACGCACAGCTCATGTGGGTACACACTCAGTGTGGAGCCCGGTCCTGGCAAAGCGCACAGCCAATGTCTGCCTCTTCCTCCTCCTCCTCTTCCTCCTCGCCCTGCCCTTCCTGCCATGCAAGTGGCTGAAATCCTGTTCTGGCTCTGGCTTTGTTTAGCAAACAAAGAACATGCAAAGCAGCTACCAGCCTGTGGGTGTTGTGTGTGTGTCTGCCAGTCTGTGTGTCTGTGTGTGCCAGCCTGTGTGTGGTGTGTCTGTCAGCCTGTGTGTGTGGTGTGTGTATGTCTGCCAGCCTGTGTGTGTGTATCTGTGTGTGCCAGCCTGTGTGTGTGTGTCTGCCAGCCTGTGTGTGGTGTGTGTGTGCATCTGTGTGTGCCAGCCTGTGTATGGTGTGTGCCAGCCTGTGTGTGTGTGTCTGCCAGCCTGTGTGTGTGTATCTGTGTGTGCCAGCCTGTGTGTGTGCCAGCCTGTGTGTGGTGTGTGTGTGCATCTGTGTGTGCCAGCCTGTGTATGGTGTGTGCCAGCCTGTGTGTGGTGTGTGTGCATCTGTGTGTGCCAGCCTGTGTGTGTGTGTCTGCAGGCCTGTGTGTGGTATGTGTGTCTATGTGTGTTGGCGCAGGGTAAGGGTCCACCCCCACCGCTGTGCCCACCCGCTCACTTTCTTTGACTTGGGGTGCAGGGCAGTGCTGCCGCCCTCCCTCCCCCAGGGTGTGACCAGGAGCTCCCCAGGACCACTTCCGGGTCCCCATGGGCACGGCAGGGGTACCAGGCCCTCTCCAGGGCTCTGAGGGGAGCTGCTGAGATGACCAGCCTCCCACTCAATCCCCTGGCCCAGCGCGCACACCTGCTGGGTTTGTGGCAGGGAATTTTGGCGAAAGTCAACAGAAAGCACCACAGGAATGAGGCTGCGGAGCAAGCTGCCCTGGCAAACCCAGGCCACTGGGCTGAGGGAGGTGGGATTTTCCCTGCCCTGGGATGGCAGGGAAGGGACCTGGGCACCGAGCCTTGGTCTCAAAACCCAGCAGGCCCATGCCGGAGGGGAACCCCTAGAGAACACTCCCTGCACCCAGGGGACACAGGTGTAAACTGAGGCTCAGAGTCAGATCTGGGAGAGGGCGGTGCTGTGGCACCTAGGACTCCACCTGCAATGCCAGCATCCTACATGGGCACCGAATTGTGTCCAGCTGCTGCCCTTTCAATCACAGTTCCTTGTCCTGTGCCCAGGAAAGCAATAAAAGACGCCCAAGTGCTGAGGCTCCTGCACCCGCTTGAGAGACCCGCGTGGCATTCCTGGCTGCTGGCTGGCAGTGGACTGGCTCATTTTGGCCATTTGGGGAGAAAACTAGAGGATGAGAGATCCTCTGTGCCTCTCTCTGTAATCTTTCAATTAAAAAAAAATCTAAAGAAAAAGGAAAAGATTCTGATCTGATCTCAGCTGACACTTGGCTAGGCTGACCAAACTCCCTCTCTCTCCTCTTTCCCTGTCTCTCCCCTCTCTCTCCCCTCTTCTCTCTCCCTCTCTCTCCCCCCATGTCTCTCTCTCCCTGTCTCTCTCCCTCTCTTTCTCTCCCTCCCTCTCTCCTTTTCTCTCTCTCCCTCTCTATCCATGTCTCTCTCCCCCTCCATGTCTATCTCTCTCTCTTTCTCTCCCCTTCTCTCCCCCCTCTCTCTCTCTCCATGTCTCTCTCTCTTCTCTCTCTTTTTCCCTCTCCCTCTCTCTCCCCCCTCCTCTCTCTCTCTCCATGTCTCTCCCTCTCTCCTCTCTCTCTCTCTCCTTCTCTCCCCCCCTCTCTCTCTCCATGTCTCTCTCTCTTCTCTTTTTCCCTCTCCCTCTCTCTCCCCCCTCCTCTCTCTCTCTCCATGTCTCTCCCCCCCCACTCACTCTTTCCCCCTCGCTCTCCCTCACTCTCTCCCTCACCTGTTCTGCTTTACTGTCTCCCTGAATCCTCTGGGATGTGGACACTGCAGTTACAGGCTGAGCGCTCCAAGGACAGTGCCCTGAGGCTCGCAGCTGTCATCCTCTCAACCACTTATTGATTGGGAGTTACAAGTGAAGGCAAGATCCTGCATCCAGCGGTTCGCTCTCCAAATGGCTGCAACAGCTGGAGCTGGGCAGGTCAGAAGCCAGTGCCAGCCACTCCCTCCAGGTCTCCCACGTGGGTGCCTGGCCCGTCCTCTGCTGCTTTCCCAGGCACATTAGCAGGGAGCTGGAATTAGAGGTTGAGTATCTGGGACGCAAGATGGTGCCCAATTGAGATGCCAGTGTCCATGCCAGCCCCTCCGGCTAACTTTTGAAATGATTTACTTGAAAGGGGGAGGGGCTATACCACAAGCCAACAACTCTATCCAGGCCTCTCCCAGGTGCAGCAGAAGTCCCAGGATTCGAGCCCCTGCGGCCCCCAGCTCGCTAGCTTCTCCCGGGAGCTGGGGTGGGGTCTGACATAGGACGCAGGTATTTCAAACGATGTTTTAGTGGCCACACCAAATACCCACCCATCCCCTTGCCATCCAACTTGACCCTGGAGTTCCCCAAAGTTGTCTGGCTGGTGTAAATGACTAGCTTCGATCTTGGGGTCTTTGGAGGGCCTAGGAAGACACTGAGGACACCAGTGTCGCTGGAGGTGATGTCCGGCGTGGGCCTTGCCATGACGGGGGACACGCTCACTGCCCTGGACAGCGAGGCCAGACGGACACTCAGCATGAGCAGTGAATGGTTTCCAGCTCCGTTCGGACTTCCCACGGCCAGCTGGGCCTTGGTGTTGGCCAGCGAGCAAACCCATATTGAACAGGTTGGTTCCCGAGTCCAAGACCAAGTCACATTACAAAGGGGACCCCCTGGCCACGGTGGGGTTTCCTTCAAGATGCTCCTCTTATGCTGCCTCCATTCTTGTAGGCTACCCTCCCAGGGCCTCAGCTGCTGCATCTGTGAAATGGGACAGCAGCACCTAGTCCACTCCGGGGGCGTGGAGACAGGACCTGGGGCCTGAGCCGCCCAAGGGGGTCCCTGGTGGTGACCCGAAGTCCTGTGAGAGGGAGGGGAAGGAGACGGGAGACCCAAGCAGAGGTCGATGGAGAGGAGGAGGAAGGGTGGGTGAGCTGGGGCTGGCAGGTCGCAATCCTTTCTCACAACCTCCAAGGGTCAGGGGAGTGTTTCACCTCCCTGTGGTTGTGTGTGCGCATGTGCAACTGTGTGAGAGTGTGTGTGTGCACGCCAGTGGATGCCAGTGTGTGTGGGTGTGTGCATGCTAGTGGGTGCCAGTGTGTGTACATGCATGCCAGTGGGTGCCAGTGTATGCCAGTGTGTGTACAGGTGTGTGCCAGTGTGTGTGTGGGTGCCAGTGTGTGCGGGTGTGTGCACGCCAGTGGGTGCCAGTGTGTGTGTGTGTGTGTATACCAGTGGGTGCCAGTGTGTGTACCAGTGTGTGCCAGTGTGTGTGTATGGGTGCCCCCTGTGTGTTTGTGTGCATGTGTGTGTGCATGGGTGCCAGTGTGTGTGGGTGTGTGCATGCCAGTGGGTGCCAGTGTGTGTGTGTGTGTGTATACCAGTGGGTGCCAGTGTGTGTGTGTATGAACCAGCATGCATCTCAGGATGTGTGTGTGAGAGCAGGTGAAACCGTATGAACGTGAGTGAAGCTGAGCTTATGTGTGTGAATGTGTTCCAATAAGCATGAAAGTGTGTGTGGCTTGCATGTCAGAGGAGGACTGGCCTGTTGGGGCCCTGAGTTTAGCCCCCAGGACACTCCTCCAGGCCCTGGTCCCACAACTGCAAGAGAGGCCATTCCACGTTATTCCCACACCGTGGGAGGTGTGCAGAGCCCCAGGTTGGCCGTGGCCCTGTGCTGGGTCCCCACGTTGAATCAGGGACAGACCCCCCTTTGTCTAAAGCTCTCCAGCAGCCCCTCAGATCTGCTGCTGTGCGGTGGCCCCGCAGGCAGGTGACGCATCACAGATGCCGCTCTCCTTGCAGTATGGACCTTTATCGGTGTTTACAGCACGCGAGGGGTGCAGGCTGTGGGTAGCGGCACCTGCCAGCTGCTCCCTGAGCACGGGAACAGGGGCCTGCTGTGCAGCCCTCGGCCGCCCGGGACAGGGCAGAAGCCCCAGGACGCAGACCCCCTCACTGGCCGGAGTAGCAGCCAGAAAGGCAGCCGAGATGGCCAGCACCTGGAGAAGCTCCCGGGTGTGTCCTGGGCCTCCTGGTACAGAGGTCCCTGGGGTGTCGTGGCATCTTCCTCTGTTTTGCCAGTAAGGAGGTGCCTGGGCGCACTTGGCCCAGCAGAGCCCATGCATGGCAGCAGCATTAGAGCAGAGAAGGAACGTAGCTCCTCTGAGGTCACGCAGCAAAAGTCCCATAGAGCTCAGCACCAGCTCAAGGGCTTCCTGTGCGGGGATGGGGAGGAGGCCGGGCCCCTCACTTGAGGCTGTGCTGGCTCTCACGGTGCCGCCGCAAGTCCACCTTGCGCTGGAAGCCCTTGGCGCACAGCTCACAGCTGAACGGCTTGAAGCCCGTGTGCTTGCGACTGTGGGTGATGAGGTTGGAGCTCTGGCTGAAGGCCTTGCCGCATACCTGGCACTTGTGCGGCTTCTCACCTGCATGGGATGGGGGAGGTGAGGAAAGAGGTGCCGAGGACGGGAGACGCACCTGCCGCTCCCGGCCGCCCAGTGTCCCCGCGGGTGCTCAGAGGCCAGGGCGCTGGCCGCCTCACCCGTGTGGATGTAGGTATGTTTCTTCATGTCTGACTTCTGGTGGAAGCGCTTGCCACAGAACTGGCAGGGGTAGGGGCGCGTGTCCGAGTGGATGAGCAGGTGCGTGGACAGCGTGGATGAGCGCTTGAAGGCTTTGCCGCACATCCGGCACTCGAACGTGCGCTCCTGCCGGAGGAAACGAGGCGCCGGGGGGTCAAGCGCGGGGAGCACCACGCCGGGCGCGGGACCGGACCCCGCCAGGGGGGTCCCCTGCGGAAGAGGACGCTCCGTTGGGGGTGGTCTTGAGGCCCCGGGGTCCCTGCCCCCGCCCCACGCCCAGCCCCATTCCTGCCTCCCAGCGCGAGCCCAGCTGGCCACAGGTGCTATTTTTCCTTGTAACCGGTCCAGTATCCCCACTCAGTCAACCCCAATGTTTGTCGACCGACTGACTGATCTGTGTGTTTTTGAGGGGCGCCCAGGTCACGAGCCTCAACCCAGTTGCTTCCCGATACAGGGACGGTGACCAGCAGGTGTACTGCTGGGTTTACCAGAAGCTTCTGCCTTCACGGGGCATTTGGGACTCATTACAGCCCGTGAGAAACAGTTTCTGCTTCTGTGCGATGGAACAGTGGCGACCACAGAAGGTCGGAGGTCGCTCCGAGTCATTCCTGCCTTTCCCCCCCGAACTGCTGCTGTGACTTCTTGGCTGTAGTGACCCCGCTGGCTTCAGATGCCCTCCCTGGAAGGGGTCCCTGCCTCCATGTGTCTAACCGGGTGGGAGGGACCTCCCAGCCCAGATCCAAGAGGCTGGCAATGAACGAGTCTCACGCTGAAGCCCAGGGCACAATCTGCCAATGGCCCTGGCAGCAGAGGCACCAAGCACTCTGGGGCATCCAGAGACCCCCCCCACACACACACCCCTAGCCATCTGCGTCACCCTTGGGGTCAGGGAGGGACCCAGTGGCCCACCTGGGAGTGAACATGCGTGTGCTGCTCCAGGCTCACGGCGTGGCCGAAGGTTTTACCGCAAACGTCACAGGCGAAGGGCCGCGTGCCGCTGTGGGAGCGCCGGACGTGCACCTCGAGCCCGTGGGGGGTGGAGAACACCTACAGGGAGAGGCAGAGCTGATGGGGTGCGGGGTGTGCGGAGAGGGGCCTGGCCGCTGGCAGGTCCCCGTCTATAAAATGAGGGCTGGGACAGGACGCCTGGAAAGCCCCTCCTCGCCCCATCGGGAGGTGGAGCGGCAGAGGGTCAGGAGAGCTTGCAACACCGCTGTGGGGTCTGATGCCTGTGTACTGAGCAACCTTGGGCAAGAGACCTACCCTCTCTGAACTTTAAGCCCTTGGCTTACCCCCTGGAGGTCATGGGTGTCAAGGGCTTGGCATGCTGCAGGGCCTGTGGTCAGGGCTCCATGAACAAGCACTCTGAATATTGCACCCCGCAGGGCCCCCAGATCCACAGCGCGAGGAAGGCAGCCAGTGGTGGTGGGAGACATGCAGAGCAGGGCCCGTGTCCGTCTGCGCCCCTCACCTTGTTGCACTTGATACAGTGGTAGGCATCCATGCCGGGGGAGTAACGAAGGCTGAAGTCCAAGGGTGGCTCGGCACTGGGCACCAGGGGGCTACCGTACAGGCTGACCGAGCGCTCCAGGAAGGCGGACTGCATGGTGGAGGGGGCCTGCCGGTAGCTGTGGCCATAGGATGAGGCCAGCGTGTCCCAGGAGAAGCTGGGCTTGTAGAAGGGAGGCGAGTCTGAGGGTAGCGAGTCCCCTTCCTGGGCTCTGGACATCACGGGGGTCCCCTCTGTGGAGAGCATGACACAAGCCCTGGGGACTCAGCCACAGGTGTGGCCCCTGCTCCCCATGGCCCCAGCCATCCCCCCTGAAGCCCCTTCCCGGGGACCCCTGTCTGCTTTCCACCCTGGGATCTCACTGGGTACCCCTGTCCCTCCAGCCTAGAAGCCCCCCACTCCACCGTGGTGCCAGCGTGCCCACTGCCCGGCCGGTCCTGCTGGCTGCTCCTTCCACCCACCACACTGAAGCCCTCCCCCGCGTGGGGGGAAGCCGGAGAAGGTGACCGCAGGTGAACTTGTCTGTCCACCCTGACTCCGGGCAAGGGGCACATCCTGGTCTTGGGCTCAGTACCTGGGGCCGCGGGCACCCTGGGCAAGCCCTTCTCAGGCTCTGGCTCTGGTTCCCATCGGAGGCTGGTCCAGTCCAAGTGCTGATTCGGGAACAGCGAGCTGAGAGCAGGGCCGTGACTCATGACCTGGTTCTTGGCTGCTGTGGGCAGACAAGGCAGTCAGACTCACCAGCTTCGGCTCCTGGGGTCTGCTGTGAGCAGGGGCCCAGTGGCTGCTGCTCTGGGGCCGTCTTTTGTCCAAGCAGCCTTACCCTGCCCCCCACTCCTCTGTGACCCTCCACGCAGGACCCCCAAGCCGTGGCAGGGTCCCGGCTCCCATCCTCCCATCAGGCATGCCGGCAGTCATTCATTCAGCAGTTCTGCTGGCACGCTGGGAGCAGAGGCCAGCGTGGGGAGGGTCGCCCTGGCCCCTCACACAGGGCAGGGAGATCCAGAGGAGGCAGGAGGGGCCCTGACTCACCGGGGCTGGGGGTCGGATGCCAGATGGGGTCGTCCTGTGTGCGGGGCTCATGGTAGGAATGAGCCTTCTTACTCTTGACCAGAAAGGAGCGTGGCATTGTCACGTGCCTGGGCACCTGCTGGGAAGGGGGTGGGAGGGACAGGCAAGGAGGTGAGAATGGGCAAGGGGACGCCATGACTCAGCACTCAGCCTCCAAGGTTCACGTGCTGCCAGAACCCGCCAATGTGGCCCTTAGGGTGGCCTTCAAGTCCAGGTGCTGTCCTTGGTCACACAGGGAGGGAGCCATGTGTGGGCAGAGGCTGGCAGGAGGCAGGGGCCGCAAGCTCTCCACTAGCCCTGGGCATGCTGGGGCCACTGTCACAAGGCCAGCCCTGGCTTCCATCCGCTGGGTCACTTCCCAAATGGCTGCCACAGCCAGGGCTGGCCCAGACTTAAGCCGAGAACTCCATCTGGATCTCACATTCTCACAGAGCTGGATCTCCAGTTGGAGCTAACATGTTGGGAGCTTGACCTGCTGTGCTGCAGCACCGGCCCGTGGACCCCACTCCTAGAAAGCAGCATTGGAGTCCTAGGGATCCAGAGGTTTGTAGAGGTGAGCAGTGGGCCTGCCAGCTGGGCATGAGGGGCAGGCCCTTCACCTCACTTGCAGCTGTGCCCAGCGGAAGTCCATCTGTAAGCCATGAGCTGCTGCTGTGGAAGAGCCCAGCCGGAGAAGGGCACTGTCTCTCGGGGGAGCCCTGGGGGCCGGGGGGTGGGAGCAGAGCCGCAGACCTCATCAAGTGAGTGGTCAGGTGAGGAGTGGGGGGGAAGCAGAGTACCAAACGGGCCAAGGCACCTGTTCTCGCAGCTGGGTAAGGCCGAGGAAGTGGGGGTGCTGGGCTCTGCTGACCATCCAGAAGGGCCTATACCTGCTTGTGGCCGGCCGGGGGGCTCGCCCAGGGGCCTGGGAGACACAACAAGTGGCCAGCCATGTGCCTAAAGGCAATCTCCGAGGTCTTCTCGGAGGAGTCCCACCCCCATCCCCATAGCTGCTGGGTTGATAGGGCCACAGGAAGGCGGGAAGGGATCCCGGGCCCCATTGATAAGGCCTGGGCCCAGGAGCGGCACGGAAGGCGGGAGATTAGAAAGAGCAGCTCGGAGCTCTGCTGGGCATGCAGGGATCTCCTGTGTGACTTTCCGCAAGCGGCCAGCCGCGAATGAGACTCAGAGGTTCCCAACCATCCTAGGCGGGCACACCCCGGCCCAGAGCCCTGCTGTTCCTAGCGGCAGGAACCCAGCCCTAGGCCCTCCTTGTTGGTTGAGGGGGGGCGTGGGTGTGCTGGGGGCATCCCCAGGCCGGTGGTAGAGTTGCTGGCAGCTCTTGATGCTGACCCTGCTGGGCCAGGGAGCGAGCGTTTCTGTTCGTTGCAGTGTGCCTGGCACCACTCTCCAAGCTTTACGGCAAGAGACGCGCTTGGGGGCCTTTGGTGCCATGCCTGAGTCAAGGCCCCCAACCAGGGCTGCTGTCCCCACCCTCAACCCACGGGGCAGCCACAGCCTTATCACCCAGGGACACATCTTCCTTCCCCATCCCCCACATGCCAGGGCTCCCCACAGCCCCCCTTCCTGCCACATGCTCCAGCTCTCAGCTTGAGGAAAGCCTGGAGCAGGGCTGGCGGGAGGGGCTGGGTTCCCTTCTATCCTCTTCTTGGGGGGGCCTGGTCATGGAGGGAATGAGCAGTTACCCAACTCTGAACATTGTATCAGCAAGGATCATACGCCTGGGCCTAAAGGAATGGCTGGCACAGTTCCCACTCAGACCATGCCAGTACCCGCAGGCCTGCCCGCTCCCAGCCCAGCTCACAGCGAGAGCCGAGGCTCAAGACCCCTGCCCTACCCAAGCAGTCTGCCCAGTGTGTCCGCTGGGTGTCCAGCACGGGCAGTGCCCTTGGTGGGACTTTCTTAGTGGAGGGGGGCAAACCGATGCCACGCAGGACAGAGAGGAAAGTCATTTGCTCAAGGTCCCGTGGCATAGCCTGGACCCTGCTGACAGCACACGGCTCCCGGCCAGCGGCCACAGCCAGGTCCTCATGGCACCTGCTGGAATCGGTGGGCAGCACGGGGCAGGGCGGGAGGCCCAGCTCGGGGGTGGAGGGGGGTGGAGGGGAAGTCGTTAAGCCCTTTTAAAGCCCTGGAAGGTTGCAGGTGACGGGCAGGGAAGGGGCAGTTTCTTCCCCCCGTCTCCTCTGTTCCTGGCCAGTGCTCCGGGCATGCCAACCTCGCAGCCAAGCCCCCAAGTTCATTCCTTGGAAGGGCCAAGTGCAACCGGTGCACTTCCCCTTGGCAAGTTAAAAAAAAAAAAAGGCAGCAAAGAAAAACAGGAACCGGTCACCTATACTGCAGTTAATTAACAACCCCGGGTTTTGATTCACACAGCCCGTTCTGAGAAAGAGCTACGAGCAGAGATTGTAAAAGAAGTTGAGGATTTCTTCACAAACGGCCTGACAGTGTCGGGCCCCGGAAAGCGGCTGTCGTGGCGTCCGTGGCTGCACACCCCACCGGGGCCACGGGCTCTGCATCTCAGTGCGCTGCCCTGCCGGAGGGCACCCAGACAGATGCCAGTGGCGGGCCGGGGTCTTCCAGCCCACCTCGGGGCCGGGTGTGGTCCATGGGCCTGCCATCTTGTGCTACCAAGCGCCTGTGCCCCCTGCATGATTTCGTGACCTTGGTCTTGGGGGACCCCACCCGCCAGCCCGCCCGCTGTGTTGGGTTTTCTTCTCTTGTAAGGGACACTTGGGCTAAGAGGTTTCCAAACTTCCCTTTGGCTCTACAACCCCGTGTGCAATCTGCCGACCTTCGGGGAGCGGGCGGATGACCCACCTGGATGGAGAAACTTGTCACCCCGGTTCCCTTTGGGGGACAGTGGGAGGAGGTAAAGCTGCTAAGTCTATAGAAGCCCCTTGTTCTTCAAGGGACACAGACCAGGCGGTAGGAACGAGGCGGCCCCGGCCAGGTGTGCGTGGTGGTCACTACTCCTGCTGGACTGGAAGGGACTCCCAGGCGGCTCAGAAAACCCAGGGGCAAAAAAGCAAGGTATCAGTTTGCAAGCAGTAAAAGGAATGGGGAGTGGGGAAGCCCAGGGCAGAGAGGGGCCGGCATAAGGCCAAGTTCACAGCAGGTCGGTCACAGGACCGCAGCGTAGCAGCAGTTCCCGCGCGTGCCGACGGCCCGAGTGGTCAAGTCAAACAATGAGAGCAGCTGTGGGGGAACGGCACCCAGCACCCGCATGGCGAAGGCATCAACCAGGCAGCAGGGGCAGACCCCATCTAAGCCCACCTGTGAGGACCTGGAGAGTGTGAGGCTGTGTCTTTTAGACAGGGGGATGGGGGAAGAGCCTGTTTCTGTTGTTGGCACCAGGGTCCCAGATGTTGGCTGTGACAGTGTGGTCAGCTCATTTTTCTGGGGAGGAGGGGCTGGTCTAGGGCCAGCCAGTCCCCAAGTCTTCTGTCCACCCGGCCCTACGCACTTGCAGACGCCAGGACGATGCTCTGCCATCCCTCGGTGATTCTGTCCCTCTAACCTGACCCGGGCACTGCTCTGTGATGCGCCCGCAGGGACACTTGTCTGTCGCCCCCGCTGGGAAGTGGAGTTAGGAGATCCTGGGAAACTCCTTGCCTCACTGACCTCGGAAGCTGTTAACCTGGTCCCTCTTGCTAGTTCAGCTGTGAGGTGGGGCAGGCAGGTGCATCTCAGAGACCTCAGACCCCCAGACACGGCTGTGTGCCCAGCAGCACCCAGGCAACAAGCGCCAGCTTAGAGCAAGTGTCTCCCCAGGTGCCAGCACACTTCTGCTTGGCTTTTGCTTTGAAGACAGATGGGAAAGGCTAAAGGTCAGAGGATGGGAGCCCCGAGACGCCCCTCAGTCCTACTGCTGCACTTGTCCTGGGCTCGGGAGGGGAGCAGATGACACCCAGCATTCAGAGTGTGTCACAGGTTGCCTGGGGCTGCGAAGCTGCAGCCCCTTCGTACACTGCCTAGGTCCCTGGGACGGTCGCGGGTAGGAGGGTGGCCCCCAGGACTTTGCGCCTGCGGGAAACATCTGGCAGCCAGAAATCGGGTTTTGCAAAGAATCCATCTGGCTGGGTGGAAGGCGGGATTCCCCCAGCCAGGGGCACTCAGCCTCAGCAGAGGCTGTCCCCGCCACCTCCTCTGGCCAGTGCCCATCTAAGCAGATTCCAGTCCCAACTGCAGGAGGAACTTGGTCAAGGAACAGGCAAATGCAGAAGGAGGAGCTGGCGGGCGCCCCCAGCGCACTCACCTGCGAGTGGCCCTTGCCGAGGGTCCTGCTTGGGGACCACGAGCCTCTCCGGGGACAGGCAGGTCCCTGCTCCGTCCGTCCGCTGCGTGGCTCTCTCCACAGTACTTCTCCTTTTCTCTCTCTCTGTGTTTCTCCTCCTCTCTTCCCCTCCCTGATTTCCAATCTGATTATTTGTGTCAAAATCTGGCGGCGTGGTGACAGCCAATGGGGAGGGCGCCAGGGCTGGCCGCAGCTGCTTATCAAAACTTCGCAGGGCTCAGACTCCCAGCTCATCCCCAGCCCACGGCAAGCTCTCTCTTCCCCTCTCCACCCCCCCCCAAAAAAAACTTTGAAGGACACCCGGATGAGAAGGATGCAACGAACAAATGACCAAATTAAAAAAGAATAATGTGGGACATAAAAGCACTTATCACAACCTGACTTTGGGTAAAAAAGATGTGAGTCACCTTTGCTTTCTCCTCCCTCCCTCCTCTGCCTTCTCCTGGCTTCTCCGGCTCCGGCATCCAGCCGCGGAGCACCCCTGGGAGCTGGGCCCCAGCGGGCAGCCCAGCAGGTGAGCTGCGAACCCTGCTCTCCACACTTACAGAGGAGGTTGTCTTAAGGGGGGCAAATTGACACTCTCAGTGGGAAGGAGATTTGGGGGTGAGTGTGGCCTCAGGACCCTCAGCTGACGGAAACACATACGGGCTTGGGCAGCCCTCTGCTGGCCGCTGTGGGTTCAGAGGGTGCTGCAGCCCGTGTGGGGTGGTGGGGGTCGGGTACATCTCCTGGGTGGGTAGGGGCAGCTGGGGCAATTTCATCCCCTGGTCTTGCACCCTCCCCACCTGCTCCCAGGAGGTTTTGCATAAGACACCGGCTCCGCGGGACAGCACAGTTAGCCTGATTTGCATACGCTCCCAGAGAGCCAAGTCCAAGGTTCGACGTGGGAAAGAAAGGGGCGTTCCAAGGCGAGGTCTCTCTGT